AGCAGACGGCGGGCGAGCTGAGACATGCGGCGAGAGCGCATACCCCCTATACGGCTGATATACGCCACCGCCGCCGTACTGTCCGTCCTGACCAGCACGTGTTGCCGCTCCAACACCGGAAAAAAACGGTGGAGAGCGGGGAACACTGCCAACAGCTCCAGGCGATATGCCAATGCAACTGGGTACCTTTCCACAGGTCCGCAGCCGCATGCCCGCAACGCACAGCCCCCCAGCCCGTGTTGGAAGCGTCTGCTGAAACGACAACAAGACTGGACGCCTGTTCTAGAGACACCCAGGCCTGTAGGAACGAGGGGTCGCTCCAAGGGCTGAGGGCGCGGCGACACAGCGCAGTAACAGAGACTCGGTGTGCGCGCGCGTGCCATGCGCGTCTGGGGACTCGATCGTGAAGCCAGTGCTGAAGTGGTCTCATATAGAATAATCCGAGCGGCATGAAGCGGCTGCGGATGCCATATGCCCCAGGAGCCTCTGAAATTGTTTCAGTGGGACCACTATTTTACTGTCGAGCTCTCTCAGACAGTACAGCATCAGCTGAGCGCGCTCTCCGGAGAGGCGCGCTGCCATGGTGACCGAGTCCAGCTCCAGCCCGAGAGAAGAGATCCTCTGCACGGGGGCGAGTTTGCTCTTTTCTCGGTTGACCTGAAACCCCCACAGGTGGAAGTGCCAGAGCACTTTGTCTCTGTGCATAATCAACTCTGTGCATAATCAAAAGAGAGGGCAATTCAGCCAGTCGTAAAGAAATTGAGTATGCAGATGCCCGCGAGCCGAAGGGGCGCTGAGGCACCCTCCGCGGGCTTGGTGAGGACCCGCGGAGACAGAGAGAGCCCGAAGGGGAGGGCTTTGTATTGCCAAGCTCGACCTTCAAACGCAAACCGCAGAAACTGTCGGTGGCGAGGAAGAGTGGAGACATGGAAATACGCGTCCATCAGGTCTAATGCTGCAGACCAACACAGAGGACGAACGCACCGGAGGATGCGCTTCTGCGTGAGCATTCTGAACGGCAGCTTGTGCAGGCAGCGGTTCAAAACGCGCAGATCTAGGATTGGCCGTGACCCACCGCTCTTTTTGGGCACGATGAAGCGTGGGCTGTAAAACCCGCTCTCCATCTCGGCTGGAGGGAGCGGCTCGATTGCATCCTTCGCCAGGAGGACAGCAATCTCCTCTCGCAAGACAGGGGCGGACAGGGGGCTGACCCTGGTGAATACACACCCGTGACTTGGGGGGCCGTTTCGCGAACTGAATCGCATAGCCGAGTCTGATTGTGCGTATGAGCCACCGCGAAGAGCTGGCCCGCGCTAACCAGGCAGGCAGAGCTCTCGCTAATGGACTCATCGCTACAATCGCTGACGTACCAGCAGTGGGGCAGCGCGGAGTGGGTGTGCTGATCCGGGAAGCTCGCGGGTCCCACGGAAAAGCTGGAGGTGGGATATTTGCTCTCACTCCAAACCCGAGCTCCGGAGGGGAGGCTCGAGGGGTGGGAGAAAGGAGACCGTCCTCCCAGCGCTCGTGAGCCACTGGCGAAACGCACCGAATCTGCAAGCTAGAAAGCATAGCGTCCCAGACTGGCAGATTTCGGGCTGTCACATCTGGGGAAGTGAAAAGTGCCCTTTCATAATGTTTTCATGGCAGTAAAAAGTGCCGTTGGAAATGGGGCCCCGCCCTCCAGCGGGGAAAGAGCAAGTTCCCTCTTCTCCAGATGGCCTGTCCCAGGGGCGCTTCGCGGTCCGTTGCCGGACTTAGCGGCGTTCTGGGCAGGGGGGCTGCCTGCTTCCGAGGTGCCCGACGCGCTCGCTTCGCCTTAGGCGTGTGCGGGGGCGGAGCAGCTCTCGTAGGCGGACGCCTTCGGCGAGGAGCAGGTATGAATGGCACGGCGGGCGGAGCGGGCTACGGACCGCCGATAAGACATCACCCACCAACTGCTCTCTCACCGCCTTGAATTCCTGGGTGAATTCACAGACAGTGTCGCCGAACCTGGCTGGGGATATGGGGAAGTCAAGAAAGCGGACTTTGTCGACTTTGCGCATATCAGCCAGGGGTGGCGCTCCTGGACCACTAATGTGGACATCGTCCTCCCCAACGCACACGCAGCGGACTCAGTAGTCCGAAGAGCTAAGTCGGCGGCGGTGCGAAGCTCGTAAGCCTGGGTTGGACCCACCCTCGTGCAGCTCGGCCAGCGCCTGCGCTTGGTAGCGCTGGTAGGTGGCTATCGCATGCAAGGCGGAAGCAGCCTGGCCCGCAGCTATGTAAGCTCTAGCTCCGAGGGAGGTAGATAACTTACAGGCTTTGGATGGGAGACGAGGCGGACCCCGCCAAGAAGAGGCGCCGCGCGGATTTACCGCCATCGCGCACTCAACCTGAGGAATCGCCACATACCCCCTGGCTGTTTCACCGTCAAGAGTGGTTAGGGTGGAGGAACACGCAGCACGAGCAGAAAAAAGTGCTTTACAAGACCGCGTGAGCCTACTGTGCACCTCCGGGAAGAAGGGAACGCCCCTCTAGTCGGTCCGGCCGCGGAGCTGGGGGATAAACCATCTCCAACCCACGGCCGAAGCAGCCCGGGAAAGCACGGCTAACATGTCCGTTTCAGGATCCGTAGTGACAGCGCTCACCAGCCCGAAGGGGGCGAGCGGGTCTGGATCATCATCGGACAATGAAAGCCCACCCTCCGATGCCGCGGTGGACATCTGGTCTCCGGTGTCATCGGGCGTAAGGGCTACCATCTGTTAGACGGATCGCTTCCTCCGCCCGAAGCTTGGATGGAGCGCTTAGAGGAGCGGGAGGTCCGCGGGCCCGTGGGCGACGGATTATCTCTCGCTGAAACCCTCAGATCTGCCCGAGTGCCCGCTGCAGAGCAGGGGACAACTGGGGTGGTTCGCCTTTTTGCAAAGGCTAACCGCGATCTTGCGCAACAGTCATGGCATCGCAATGACGACATGAACTGCCCGCGAGCAGCGCATTAACATGCTGGACCCCCAGACATGTAACACAGTGCCCGCGCCCATCATCCGAGGACAGGAAACCACCGCATCCAGAAACGCACAGTCGGAGCGCCGTCCTGATAAGGACGTGCTGCACGACTGTGTTGCTCTTTCTGTGAAGTTTGCAACTTTATACGCACCGCTCTGGAGGACCGGACCCAAAGAACGCCAGGCAAGGGAGAAACCCAGCTCGACCGTCTGCCACTGCGTGTACACACTCTGGACCGGGAGAATGCTCTCGTTCGCTCAGAATCGCTGGTCACAGCAGGAGGAACCCTCATCGACTCGATCAGAAAGTCTCTGAAGCGAAAAGGATAGCGTCTGCTGCGCCAGGTGAGCTTATATACTCAGTTGATTGCTTATGCCGCTCACCTGCGCAGGCTTGCGCTGCCAATTCATTCTTAATTGGCCCGTTCAATACTCTTTCAGACGAGTAGCTTCTGAACCGAACCTCCCAATGCGTGGATTTTACAATCAAATCCACTTATAGTGCTGAAGTTCCCCCCGAAGGGGAACTACAAATCTGCCACCAAAAGAACTACAAATCCTGTCATGCACCACACACTCACGCCTGTTCCTGTTTCACTTTGATTACACACACACACACACAGCCGGAGGATTGTTATGAACTGATTACATGGACTTTAAATGCAGCACAGACGCACACATCAGTTGCTGAGACTTGTTATACTGTTAGTGAACATTACGACGCGTTTCCTCTGTTTATGTTGTTTTTGCCGCCTGTCCTGACCATTCACCTGTTTACTGACGATTCTTTGGCTTCTCTGTATGCACTTGTTTGCTCCTGTGATCAACTTTTGCCTGCCTGACTGTGCTTGTTATTAAATACTGCAAGTGGATCCTCTACTCCGTTGTCCAGCTTCCTTCACATACCAAGTAGTATAGTATTTATGTTAGTATGAATAGTTTTCAGTTTTATCCATGTTCATTTTAATTATTGTTTATTTTCTATTTAGCCCAAAAAATAATAATTTGAATTTATTTTAAAAAAAAAAAATCCAAACTTCACAATACAATTAGATAAATCTATGCTGTAATATTAAACCATTTAAAAATATTTTTTATTGTCAGTTAATTCAGTGTATTACTTTTTATCTATTTATTTAATATTTAAATAGTTTTGTTTAATTTAAAAATTAAATTAAAGTAATTTGAATAAATTACAACATTGAAAATTTAAGTGCTATTTTATATTAGCTTTTACTGTAGTAGTAGTAATATAGTATTTATTACGTTTTTATGAATAGTTTTCAGTTTTATCCATGTTCACTTTAGTTTTTGTTTATTTTCTATTAAGCTTAAAAATAATAATTAGATTTTAATAAAAAATACAAACCTTACAATACAGTTACAGAAAGATGCTATAATATTAAAACATTATAATAATATTATAACAATTATAATATTAAAGTATTTTCTTTAATTTGTCAAATAATTCGATGTATTTATTTTTTTAGATGTATTTATTTATTTTAATATAATATTAAATTAAAATCGTCTGATCAATTCACCATTTTGAAGATTAAAAAGCCATTTTATATTATTTTTATAGTAGTAGACGTATAGTATATATCATGTTTTACTGAAAAGTTTACAGTTTAATTGTTGTTTATTTTATTTCACTTGAAAATAATGATAAGAATTTAATTAAGAAAGCATATATATAAGTATACTTCATAATACAGTTACATAAATCTGTGCTGTAATATTTAAATATTTTTTATTTCATTTATGTTAATTAATTCAATGTATTTAATTTTTAAAATATTTATTTTATATTTAATTAGTTCTTTCATTCATTCGTTTTCTTTTGGCTTAATCCCTTTATTAATCTGGGGTTGCCACAGCGGAATGAACCGCCAACTTATCCAGCATGTTTTACTCAGCAGATGCCCTTCCAGCTGCAACTCTGCAACCTTAATATTTAATTTCATCTTAATTGTATTTCAAGCAATATTAAATGACTGTATTTTTTTGTCACAGGTGGAGAAGATTCATTTGAAGTGGACCAAACAACAGGAGAAGTGAAAACCACAGGTCGCCCTCTGACCCCGAGTAAGGAATACACACTGACCGTCCAGGCCGTGGACTCTCAGGGCAGGAGGGGTACACACGCCTCTCTCTTCATTCTGGCCGGCTTTCGACCCCCTCAGTTCACCAACACCACCTACACCATCCACATCCCAGAGAGCAGCGCGGTGGGCCAAGCGTGAGTACAGCAAACTGTGTGTCAGTGGGTGTATTGCTGTGCATCTGTGTGTAAGAAGATTCACAATTTGCTGCTCATTAGAGGGTAAGAGAAGGATTGTGTGAACGTGGCCAACTCCAAAGCTTTATGTGTCATCTGTTGCATGAAACAATTGGCCCGCAGGGAGAGCGGAGGTTGAGAGAGGGGGGGACGGACTCAATAGAAGAGAGGGTTGTGGCAGAGACGGGGAACACAGATGCATCATTTTGTCCCCAGGCTCTGAATTTGAAAGCGTGCTCAAATTCAAATATTTATTAAAAGAAACTTCTGGATAAACATGAAGAGCAGTGTCTGAACTCCCCCCTTCGGGCACTGGCACAGAACCGAGCATAATAATCTGTGTGAAGGAGGAGAGGACAGCTAATCATGGGAAGAGCGACGTATTAAAAGAGAGGGGAAAGACAGGCGTATTAAAGTTAAAGAGTGTGGAAGTGGGGTGATGACATGGGAAGAGAGCCACAATCAACCACTGAGATATCTCTGACATGCATTATTTCCATTTGTAAATGTGAAAATAGTAGCCTTTTTCAAAATCTTGATGTCTTGTGGTCTGCTGCCATCAAAAAGTAGTCCAATTCAAAGCTCATTCATGCTAAATAAAGGTTCTTAAAGAAAATTTTTACACCATTGCCCATAAAATTGACCAATGAAGAGTCTAGTGCATTCTTCAGTGAAGAAGCAAGAACCTTTTGTGGATTTTAAAGATATTATTGGTGTTAAAGGGGGTCTATTAAGCAAATATCACTTTTATAGGAAGGCTGTGGGGCAACAGTCTGTGAATTAAACCGATTAAATTAAGATGGAATTAAATTAATTAATTTCATCTTTTATAATCACACTTCATAAAAACAGTCCACAGAAACACTTTGATTGACATTCTCTCTTTGTACCTGTCATCACAGGTTGGAAAGCCCCGCCCATTAATTATTAGCATAGAATGTTAGTCTTGTTTTTGAAGCTCCCACTATGCTAAGACATAGGCAGTTGTAGCTCCGCCCACTTTTTACTGGGACATATTATTGATGAATAAATCAGTTTTGTGTAGTTCAAACTCAAAAAATTCTAGATATTTAATACTAGCTGCACTTTTATCTACTTTATACACTGTCAACTGCATAGCTCTGTAATAAAGTCCAAATTGTTCATTACCTATGCACACTGTGAAAAATCAATTAGGGCGAAGCAGTGGCGCTGTAGGTAGTGCTGTTGCCTCACAGCAAGAAGGTCGCTGGGTCGGCTCAGTTGGCGTTTCTGTGTGGAGTTTGCATGTTCTCCCTGCGTTCGCGTGGGTTTCCTCCGGGTGCTCCGGTTTCTCCCACAATCCAAAGACATGCGGTAGAGGTGAATTTGGTAGGCTAGATTGTCCGTAGTGTGTGAGTGCGTGTTTGAATGAGTGTTTGTAGATGTTTCCCAGAGATGGGTTGCGGCTGGAAGGGCATCCGCTGCGTAAAAATGTGCTGGATATGTTGGCGGTTCATTTCGCTGTGGCAACCCCAGATTAATAAAGGGACTAAGCCAACAAGAAAATGAATGAATGAATGAAAAATCAAATAGTCATGACAGCATATGTTATTTCATTGTAAATTATTAAACTAAGTTTATCATGTTCTAACTAAATTTAATAAGTTGCGCAAACTTTAAGTCAGACTTTAAGTCAGTTAAACTTGATACACAGTTGAAGTCAGAATTATTAGCCCCCCTTTGATTTATTTTTCTTCTTTTTTTAATATTTCCCAAATAATGTTTAACAGCAATGAAATTTTCACAGTATGTCTGATAATATTTTTTCTTCTGGAGAAAGCTGTACTTGTTTTATTTCGGCAAAAAAAAAGTAGTTTTAAATTTATTATGAACCATTTTAGGATCAAAATTAGAAGCCCCTTTAAGCTATAATTTTTTCGATAATCTACAGAACAAACTATTATGTTTAGAAATGTGTTAAAGAAATCTTCTCTCTATTAAATGTAAATTGGAGAAATAAACAGGGGGTCTAATAATGCAGGGGGGCTAATATATCTGACTTTAACTGTAAGTGCAATGGATCAATAAGGTTAATTTGATTCAGCTTAAAAAATTAAGTCAACCAGGATTTTTTACAGTGTATGATTATTTGACAAAAAAAATGAATACATTTTCTCTTACACTAACAGTTCAAATTCAAGATTATGATACAACATGAACATAAGCATTTCTGCAGTTGTGATTTAGGCAATATTGCAATTAAACTTTACCTCATTCAAAACAATACTCTAATTAAACTGATGGGATTATCCTCATAATCATATAAACCACAGACATATTTTAAAAATGTGGCATACGGCGTTTTTAATCACTAGAAATAGGCATGTAAACACCTTAATCACATTAATTCGGCTTTGACAAAGACATACACAGATGCTGCGTGCTGTTCGCACAACTTGGTGAATGAACTCAGTGACATTATTCTACAGTTTTACTTAAAGCAATTTCACACTTTCAGCACATCAATATCACTCGCACAAATTCAGCATGTTCAATAGCTGAAATCAAACTCCAACAGAAGCCAAAAGTGCTAACACTCTGATCTTACTAAACCCCATCAAGTGTCTGTTGCCATCTGTCTGCATTTGTCAGTATGGTGTGAACTGGCCTTTAGACTTTAATTTGCTCAAATCTGTCTACTCGCTGTTCGGTCTCTGCTTTTTATCTTCATCCAGAGACAGCACAATAAAAAGCCATACAGTGGAAGCATTACTGTGCCATTAAAACACCAGTGTTAAGCAATTCTGTCTTTGTGCAAATGAATAAGCTGCATTCTGCTGAATGTATTAATTTTAGGTTAAATTGGTAAGTTGAACAAAGCTCTGATGATACCACTTCACATATATTACATGCTCCAGTTGGACTGCTTTCATAGTTCTTTATGGCAGATTGTTTAGCTACATTGTCCTGACATAAACTGCTCTACTTATCAGGTTTAATACAGTTGATACCAATAAGTGGTAAAATACACTGATCAGCCCATAGTATACATTTTGCAACATGTTATCGATATTTTTGTATGCTGAAGAAGTAACATGAATTTGTTAAGTTAATAGAATTAAAATAAATTAATAAAATAAAATGTTTAGCTCTCCTGCGAATTTTTGTTTCTTTTTCAAATATTTCCCAAATTATGTTTAATAGAGCAAGTTTTCCTTTTATCTTTTTCTTCTGGAGTAAGTCTTATTTGTTTTATTTTGGCTAGAATTAAAGCAGTTTTATTTTTTCTTAAACATTTTAAGTCAATATTATTAGCATTTTGGATATGATGTTAAACAATTTATAGGAATTGAAGAAGTATTTGAGTCACATAGAGGAGATAATCTGAATAAAAGATTATTACAAAAGAGAAGCGTTCTGGATTCATAAATTAAAATCACTTACACCAAGAGGAATAAATAAGGAATTGGACCTTTCTGTGTTTCTTTAACGGTTTGTTGTTTAGCTTTAATATTGTGAATCATGGATTTTGAACATGTAATGGTACACATAATGTGATGAAAATTTATTTTTAATGTTTTGGACTGTTGGAATTTCATAACATTTATGTAAACATAAACAAGTGAATGATGATAATTGATATGCTATTTTCCTGTAAAATAATGTTTTTAAAGGAGAAGGTAAATATTTATTGTCTGAGTAATTATAGTATATTGAAATGAAAATGAGATTGTTTTCAAATTTTTAAGCGATTGTCTAACTAATGGCGTAATGTGATTGATTGTGGGAGAAAAGGGTGGAGTGAGAGGATTGTGTCACACACTGAGAAAGGTAATGTGCTGAAACGTTTCTGATTTGTATCACAGAAGAATGTAAAATGAAATAAAATCTATACAAATAATTATTTAATGAGTGCAAATCATGACTTTCTGAACAATATAATTAGCACCCTTACAGAACAAACCCATCGTTATACAATGACTTGCATAATTACCCTAATTAACCCAGTTACACCGTTAATTTGCACTTTAAGCTGAATAGTATCTAGCTAAACTAGCTAAACTAGTATCATGAAAAATGTCAAGTAAAATATAATGTACTGTCATCTTAAAATACATCAGTTATTAGAAATTAGTTATTCAAACTATTATGTTTAGTAGTATGTTTAATAAAATCTTTTTTCCATTAAACATAAATTGGGAAAAAATATACAGTGGGCTAATTCTGACCTCAAATCTATATTTTTGAAATACATTGGTTGTTATATTTTGGAACAGCACTGCAGTTTCCCTCTTTAATTGTTTTTCTCACAAAATTTAGTGCATAGATGAAATGCTGACTTGTGCACTGATTGTATGTCCTGTATATTTCTCTAGGGTGGCAGTGGTCCAGGCTATCTCATTCCAGAGGAAGACTCTGTCCTACATGCTGCTGGTGAACCCGAGCAACCTGTTCAGCATAAACCAGGAGAGCGGAGCGCTCAGTCTGACACGCACTGTAGACTATGAGAGTGGACAACATCTACATCACCTGCAAGTCAGAGCATCCGAGCCAGATACAGGACTGAGCAACATGGCAGAGGTAAGCAATCTGAACCGAAATATTAATTGTTTTTTAAATTTAGTTTTCATGGTAAGGATCATGATGGCACAGTGGGTAGCACGATCACCTCAAAACAAGAAGGTCGCTAGTTTAAGCCTCAGCTGGGTCAGTTGGCAATTCTGTGTGGAATTTATTTGTTCTCCGGAGGCTCCGGTTTTCCCCACAGTTTAAAGACATGCACTTTATGTGAATTGGTTAGCTTAAATGTCCGTAGTGTATAAGTGTGTGAATGAGTGTGTATGGATGTTTTCCAGTGATGGGTTGTAGCTGGAAGGGCATTCGCTGCTTAAAACTTATCCTTGATTAGTTGGCGGATCATGCCGTTGTGGCCAACCCAAAATAATAAAGCCGAAAAAAAATGAACGAATGAATGAGTTCTCATATTGCTTAATGGAACACCATTTATGTTTAAATAATTGATCAAATAGACACCATTAGCAACAAAAATTTTAAACATTTTATTTTCCAAGAATTTGTTTTTTTATTGCAAATTTATTTTATTTTAAAGGATAGCAACATCAAGATCATGGGTTTGATTCCCAGAAAACTGATTTATTCTTCAGATATGCATATGTGGAGTATATCAGATTTTTTTTTTCAATATATATATATAATTTTTACTAATTTTGAAATACACACAATATAACAAATTTTATAACTCATATAATTAACTAATAAAATTATTTTTATATTATTTATACTAGTTTTTATTTACTGACAACCTTAAACTGAATAAAACATGTTTTAGTAATACTTGTAATTGAAAAAGGTTTTGTAATATTGTAATAATAAAAACACAAATATTTTGTTATTGCAAACATGTGTCCTTTTTTTAATGCTAGCAACACCAAAATTGTGGGTTTTATTCCCAGCAAACCGATTTATTCTTTCTTAAAAAAAAAAAAAAAAAAAAACATTCCAACAACACAGTTTTGAGTTATTGATCAGACTGACCCACAAAATAATGCAGTATAAGGGTATAAAATTGTCACACTAGGGTGCTGAACGAGTTTAGGATCCACTTGCAGTACTTTCATTACACAGAGAATGATCAGGCAGGTGATGGTTACAATATGGAGTAAACGGTAACATACAGGGAAATAAAGAAGCGTAGTCAGATAAAAAGTAAATGGTTGATACAGGCTGCAGCCAGGATGAATTATAAAACAAGGCGATGGTCAAAACATGGAGAGACTATACATGGAAAACGCTTCATAATTACAAAACATGTACCCACAAGACTCAGCAATGTCTGAGTGTGTGTGTTGTTTATATGGTCCGTGTAATTAGTCTTGAGTATCTTCCAGGTGTGTGTGTGTGTGTGTGTGCGTGCGCGCGTGCGCGTGTGTGTGTGTATGTGTGTCAAATCAATGGAAAACTGGCACAGGTATGTGTGTGTGGTGCCTGAAGGGAGTTGTAGTTCAATATGGTAGAATTGTAACCCAAGTGAAAGTGAATGTTCTCCAGCGATCTATGAGGGTTTGATCATTGGTGATCAAGACAAATACATTATTATATATAATTTTTGACTCTTTATTACCTTAAAAATGCACACTGTATAACTAACTTGTTCTTTTTTTCTGCTTATTTTAATAACGATCATAATGAGATAAACCATGTACAGCCTGACATCATGATGCTGAATATGTAGCTGTCAGTCATTCTTCACATCTAGGCCTTCTACAATTTCATGACACATCTGTTTATTTCAAAGAAGAAAGAAACACGCGATTTGATACACACAATAACACGCACACACACACATATGCATGAAAGCATACGCAAGCGCAAATAGAAACAAACATACACATATCAGCAGAAAAGCAGTAATGAGATATTGGATGCGAGGCTGAGGCCATCAAGAACACACACACACACACACACACACACACACACACACCACAGCTGTGACTGCTATGAGACTAGCAAGCAAAAATATGACAGATGTTTGATGTATAGTGTTGTTAGTGCTGTTATTAAGCGCAAATGTATCCATTTGTGTGTGTGTGTGTGGCTTGCACTGTTATCGTTCCGTGTTGATCTTCTTTGTTTGGCAGAAGTTCCTCCACATTAATTGAGTCCTCTTGATGGACTTGGCTGAGACACAATGATGTGTAAGTGTGTCTGTGCCAGCAGCAGTAGCACACATACATACACACGTTTTCAGATAATTGTCAGAGTCACTGCCCCCTGCCAAATGATTACACCATCTGCGAAGACGACTCCATGAGAACAGGCTAAAACGGTGATGAGACGAAATGAGAGGAGAAGATGATGGAAAGAAGAAGAGATGACTAAATGGAAAGAATGGCAAAAATACAGATTAAAACGAATAGATTATATAAGAGAAAAATAGAGGAGGAGAAAATACAATACAAGGTACATGAAAAGAGAAGCAATGAGACAAAAGACGATAAGTAGGAAACCCTCATAGAAAAACACTGAGCTTAAAAGGATAGTTTATCCAAAAGTGAAAATTCTGTCATCATTTACTCACCCTTTACTTGTTTCAAACCTTTATGATTTTTTTTTTCTTCAGTTAAACACAAAAGATGATATTTTGAATAAATCTGGAAACCTGTAATCATTGACTTTCATAGTATTTGTTTTTCCTGTTTTGAAAGTCAATTGTTAGCTATTTTCAGCTTTCTTCAGAATCTTCTTTTGTGCTTAACAGAAGAAAGAAACTATAACAGTTTGGGACCACTTGATGGTGAGTAAATTGTAATTTTTTTGTGAACTATCCCTTTCAATTCACACATAAAACCAGAAATTTGTGGTTTTAGGAGGGGGATCTTCATGTAGGGGGAAATGATTGACAACTTTTAGTATCTGAAAATGTTTCGAAATCAGACATTTCTTTTGCTTCCCATGTGTGTTTTATATGTGATTATAACATGTGAAGCTCATGTGTAAACGAAAAATACAGTACCTGACTAAAGTCTTGTCGTCTATCCAAGTTTTAGGAACAACAAATAAATAATTCTAGTTGATCATTTGGTATCAGAGGTGGCTTATATGAAAGGCAAAGGCCTCTAGATTACGCTTATTTTACTAAAATAAAACATGATCATGCCTTGATTTTTAATTATTTAATTAGAACAGTAAGGGGTGACTTTGCTTAGACAAAAGTCTTGTCATTTAACAGAAATAACGAATGGTATAGAATATAAAGTCATGGTGCAGTGGAAAAAGAATGAATGTTGCATATGACTCCCATGAGCTTGGAGGACTGCATCCATACATCTCTGCAATGACTCAAATCACTTATTAGTAAAGAAATAATCTGGAATGGAAAAGAAAGCTTCTTGCAGGACTCCCAGAGTTTATCAAGATTCTTTAGATTGATCTTCAATGCCTCCTTCTTCATCTTACTCCAGACATGCTCAATGTCTGGTGACTGGGCTGGCCAATCCCAGAGCACCTTGACCTTTGCTTTCAGGAACTTTGATGTGGAGGCTGAAGTAAGAAAAGGAGCGCTATCCTGCTGAAGAATTTGCCCTCTCCTGTGGTTTGTAATGGGCAGCACAAATGTCTTGATACCTCGGGCTGCTGATGTTGTCATACACTGCAGATCTCTCGCACACCCCCATGCTGAATGTAACCCCAAACCATGATTTTTCCTTCACCAAACTTGACTGATTTGTGTGAGAATCTTGGCTCCATGCGGGTTTCAATAGGTCTTCTGCAGTGTTTTTAATAATTGAAATGCTGTTCAACAGATGATTCATTGGGAAAATCTACCTTCTGCCACTTTTCATCAACTACATGTCAGTTATTATTTGTTGCTCTTACAACTTGAATCGAAGACAAGTATTTTGTGTGGTAGTGTATGAAGAAAATAGAAAGGAAATATGACCCTGGACCACAAAATGTCTTTTGTTGCATGGGTATATTTGTGGGAAGACCCAAAAATACATTATCAAATTTATACATTTTTATTTTATGCCAAAAAGTGTGTGAAGATCATCTTCCATGAAGATATTTTGTACATTTCCTGCAGTAAATATATCAAAACTTTGATTAGTGCATAGATAAACTTTTAACATTTTTAATTAGTAAAATCTATTGCTTAGTACTTAATTTGTAAGATTTTTTCAATGTAAATTTGTTTTTGAACCCTCAGATTTTCCAAAATAGTTAAATCCCAACAAACCACACATCAAAGAAAAGTTTATGTATTCAGCTTTCAGATGATGTTTAAATGTGATGATTTCCAAAAACTGCCCTTTATTTACGGTTTTGTGGTTCAGGGTCACAAATGAGTTGATGATACAGAACAAGAGAAGATAAAAAAAACTAAGAGAAATGCGAGAAATGAGATCAAGAAAGAAACACAACGACAGCAAAACCATTTTGGTCAGTCCAAAAAGAAAAAAGTATGAAGCAAAACAACCAAAATATTTATGTTTTAATGTTTTAGGAAAAATAACATACACGATAGGAGGAGACTAGAATAAAGAAGAAAAAAGGAGAGAAGATTGAGCGTCTGTCCTCTTAGCGTGTAAAAAATGATTTCATTAAGATGAAGCTTCACTAGAAGCCTCTTCATCTCTTTTAGACCCCTGTTGTTGTTGTTATTAGCAGTGCTTCTCCTCCAGCAGCAGACTTCAGATTCATTATTGCCAGATTCAGCCTCCAGCGGCTATGAAACAAACACAAAACGTTCCCCTCCATTGGGTAGATCTGTAAAGGGGGGACTGGAGAGAAAATCAACCATAATGCAGAGCTGCATGGGCTTTAAGTCACTGTCCTGATGGTTTTTAGAGTCGTCTGGTCAGCTATGGTGCCGTGTGTGTTATGCGTAAGGAACTTTTTTCCTCTTGGCACTTCTGCTCCTCTGAGATAAGCAGTTGTGCGGGACTCACCCTCACCGTGTCTAACACTCCCACTGAGAACACCAACCCTGCTTTCCCTCGGCCTCTGTTCGGTCAAAGTCAAATCCTGTGCCAGTATTCAGTCTGAATGCTTACAAATCGCCGCACAGAGAGAAGCCTGAATGTCGATACAGCCCTTCCATAAGCTATCATTTGAGCTTCAGCTAAGATCTGCTACATTAAAGTCTACACACACTGACTTTGACTGGGGTTTGTGGGGCGGTCTAGACATTTGCATTCAGTGGCTTCCACCGCAGCTGTTCTGTTCTGTTTGGTCTTTTCTTTTAATGCGTTTCCTTCTCACATGGCTACATTCTTAACCAAAAGCGTCCAGAAAGCCAAGTGACGTATTAAATATGCCCTAAAACTGGGATTTTATACATGTTCCATTCAAACATTGAGGTCAACCTTTTTTTTTTTTCTACAGAAATTGGTTGACTATAACCTTTGAAATTGATTTTTTTTTCTGTCAAATTTGCCATAATTAAAGACTAAAATAGATTTAGTGATGTTTTATCCATGTTACATTCAAATATTGAGGTCAACCATTGTTTTTCTGTAGAACCTGGTTGACTGTAATCTTTGAAATATATTTTTTCTGTTAAATTTGCTATCATTATTTTTTGTTTACTTTTATCTCTCTTTTAAGGAATAACACGACAGAAATTAAAGGAACAGTTGACTGGTCACATATTTTCTTACAGGTCCCATTAACAAATGCATATAAAGATCAGTTCACGCTGTGTAAAGGCATAAGTACAGTCCATTTCTCACAATAATGCAGGTATTTGTCCAATTGTAGTTTTTAAAAAAAAAGACATTCTTTCCATATTTAAAACATTATCTATGATATCCAACTATTCAGATTTTGTAGGGGATTCAAGTAGTAGCCACTTTTGAGTTACATTTTTCTTACTGAATGCTAGAAGTATTTTTAATAAATACTTGTCTTTTACCATGCAATATTTCTCAGGTGAATTGTTGTAAAAGAAAAGTCCATTCCATCACCCAAAATATTTTGTACTACTTGATTTACATAAATTAGTTTTACTGATGGATGAAAAAAAGAAAAATATCCGTCAAGTGATTCCCAGCAGACACACAACATCATAAGAATTAATATTAGGTTAGATTTAGGTCGCCAGTGTGTAAGGACAATGTTATATTGATGTGCAATAATGATGTGAGATGATGTTGATATTTGGTTGATTTTAGGTTGTGTTGGAAAGTGGCTAAAATCTAATGTCGAGCCAACATCTTAAACCAACGTCATATTAATGTCAAATACTGACATTTATTTGTCAGGTATGGCTACTAAAATACAACATCTCATAGATACTTTGGTAACATCCACACAATGTCAAGCTGTAACATCATTAGTTGTTGATATTTAGTTGTTTTAGGTTGCGTTGCAAAGTAATCAAAATGCGACGTCTGTACGATATTGGACTTTGACGTCAGTCTGACTTTGGATTCTGACATCAACCCGATTTTCATTTTCAAACAAATTGCAACGTCCCACAACATTTAAGATAAAAAAAAGATGTACATACATCTAGTCATTATGATTACACATCTATTAAATTAATATTTTACTGATGGATGAAGAGAAGAAAAAGAATCTATCAAGTGATAGATTCACTTACTCTTACAATGTTGTAATACTTACTTCACATGGTATTACAATTACGATGAATAAGACGTTTCCTGTTACTTATCATAATTCTCTTAATTGTTGATGCGCTAAAATGAAAATTCTGGGCAGAAAGCAAAAAATTTGCATGCAGCTTGTGTTGTTTACGCATAGAGACATACGCTCTGCTGTTTTTGGCCCTTGATAAGTGCTTCAACAAACCACCTTTGCGTAGCACAAGCCATTGAAATTAATGGGTTTCATAGCACTGCACAGCACTTTCTACATCCAGTGTGAAAGCTGTAATGACAGTTGGAGGGAGAGTTAAACTAGCTTGCTTAACGCTGCTGGGCAGTCCGGCACAGAATAGCTATTTTTCTTATATTTACCTCTATTTTAAAAATCTTCAGTAGCTGAAAATTGTTGAAGTTTTGCCATCTGCTGCTTTAAATGCCTGAACTCTTTAAACCAGGATAGATTCTGACTGGATGATAATATTTGCTGTAAAAGTGCTTTCAACTTTTATGTGATGCTATTATTGTGGTGAACACTGCTATTCTCTTAATTTAGAAATGAGTTGTTTTCTTCCTTTTGCATGAACAGTTCGCATGTTTTCACTCTTGTTTTCTAAACAGCGTCTCTCTGTCTGAATGTCTTACTTTTGCAGGTGGTGGTTCACATCACAGATGAAAACGATTGCACACCAGAGTTTATGCACTCCATTTACAGTCGAGACAACGTCCCTGAGACCACCCCTACTGGCACATCTTTACTGCAGGGTGAGTGTCTGTTTCTCCTTCCCTCTCTGTGTCCGTCTCACTTTCGCTCTCTCTCTCTGTGTTTTTCCCCCAGCGGTCCTGCTCTTGAGGCAGGTGCTGTTGCTGGTTGCTCTGCGGGGGCGAGTGTCTCTTCAACTCAGTCCTGTAATTATGAAATAATTCATTATGGCAGCGCTTTCTGGGTGGTAAATGGATTGTAATCAAAGCCAGCTCGGTGGCTCCCAGGCAGAGGAGCTTTTCTGCCCCCGTCTCTCTCGCTCTCTCTTCTTCAATCTCTCATCATCCCGAAGAGCTCTGTCAAGACTGTCAAAGCATCAAATCTCCATTTTGTGGCTGATGTTGTGGGCTTTATAACCGCAGGTTGGTAACTGCGACCCGGCAACAGAGGTGGGAACTCAACTGTGGCACATGGGCGTGATGGGTTTTGGGGGGCTACGACCCCCCCCCCTGCATGTTCTCCAGATAATAATGCCTGATAGCGACAGATAGCTCTGAAGAAGAGGCATGTCTGACCTCCTTCTCTAAAACACAAGTGTTAATGGGATGGGACCTGTTTATCTATCTGTACCGGCCCCATCTGCAATCTTATCACCGTAATTGAAGGTGTTTTAGAAGCTAAAAACACACACACACGTGAATGAGATGTCATGTTTTGTTTTAGAAAGAGGCTTGAGTGCATTAGTTGCTTGAATAAATATTCATAAACCCTAATTGGTGGTGCTTGTTATGGCAGGCATCACTTTTACTATTGCACATTTGGGATTTGAGCAAACCTCTAGCCATCAAAGTCACTTCAACAAAAAACAGAAGTGAGTCAGATCTGGCAGACCTACACGCTTTGTGAGGCGGATGCACAGATTCTGAATGCCGACTGCGTTTTTGCTATTCAGTGATGTTAACATATCACTGCCCCGAATGAAAACACATACTCTCTGCCATATGCAAACAGAATGGCTGTTGCCTCTGATTCCAGTTGGCTCTTGTGTTTCAGCGCGGTGCACGCAAAACAACTTTCCTTCTCTGTCTCTGTGTCTTCTTTCTCATCCCGATTCGTCTCCCTCGCTCTCTTTCTCTCGCTCTCAACATGTAAAAGCAGCAGGTTCACACAAACACCAGCTGGGGCTGTTATTTGCTTATCAAATGTGTTCTGTTGTGAGCCGGAGTAAAAAAAAAGCAAAACACGGAGCAATCGTTGACTGCGCGGAGCCTGGCAGAAGGGAGAGAAGATTATTATTGTTGTTTACCTTAAAACGGGATTAGACTGTAAATTGGGTGCCGGCTTTTAATAGGGCCTAGCAGGAAGAGAAGTGCAGAACGCGCTCCAATTATCGCACGGAAAACTTCTCTGAGAGGATTTAGCGCACAGCGAAGCATCGCACTTAAAACTCGCCCAACCTTAGCCCACCTTTCTACTCTCTATCCCAAGCCGCCTAACTGGTATGTTTAATTTAGCCCGGGCTCTCGTTCGCATGCATTAAATATGGTAATAGGTAGCCCTAAGAGACACTGTATTAGGGCTTGTATTTTTAATGAACCTTCTGTTTGAATCTTGGCCGTATGACTTCTCGAGCGTGTGCTTTTGCTCAGACACTTGTTTATGCTTGTCTATATGCAGTATACCACCTGCTTCTACCACCGCAACAAGTCTTTACAGTTCCTCCAGGATTTTGCAAAAACTAAATCAGATTTTTACAATTAAATCTACGGCTTTTGTGGTGAGTTTTTACAAATGAAAAGTATTTCATTTATTGTATTGCTGTGAATATATACTCAAATTTAAGAATTTTAATTCATTATTTGTTTTTTTATCTCAAGAACCTTCAATCTCTGTAATTTTTTAAACGCTAAGAGAAACAATGAGAAACTAGAGTTTACCCCTAAAACCTGTTGTACCATGTTTAAAAATGTTTGAAAATAAATGCTAGGTAGTCCATGGTAGGCACAGGATATTAACAAGACATCAGTGGGACCTTGCATCTTGGGTGGAAATGAGATCAGGTTGATGTCAGAACCCAACATCAATGTCCAACATTGGACAAACATCGGATTTTGGTCACTTTTCAATTCAACCTACAAACAACCAAATATCAACAACTAATGATGTTATAGATGGACGTTATGTGGACGTTACCACTATGAAGTCTATCAGGCGTCAGATTTTGGTTACCATACCTGACGAATAATTGTCAATATTTGACGTCATACTGATGTTAATTTAAGGTGTTGGCTCGACGTTAAATTTCACACTTTCAATTTCACAACACAAGCTAAAATTGACCAAATATCAGCGTCTAATGATGTTACAGTTTGACGTTGTGTGAATGCTATCATTATGACGTCTAGTGGACGTCTATTTTGGTTGCCATACCTGACAAATAACTGTCAATATTTGATGTCAATCTGATGTTGGTTTAAGATGTTGGCTCGATGTTGGATTTTGGTTGCTTTCTATTTCACAACAGTCTAAAATCAACCAAATATCAACATCATTTGATGTCATTATTGGACGTAAAAATAATATTATAAATGAATAATGGTAAATATGCTAATTATTATCATTTACTATTACTGTTTTATCCATAAATGTTGATTGTTAAATGTACAGTTTTTTCTGATTTATTATTATTTTTTATTTGTATTTTTATTTACTTGGTATTATCATTATTGTTACAGATAATATAATGCTATACTACTATTTACTGTGTTTACTATGTTTTGTTTTGTTTTGTATTTCTTAAATATATATGTATTGTATGTTCTTTTTAATGTAAAACAAATAAATACTTTCCAATACATTTTTAACTTTTGTTATGCTAAGAAAGCAAATGTTGAATGTTGTGGCCAAGTTCAAACAGGCTTTGAATGTTCGTTGCGATAACGTCCCATGACAAGGATAACACACCGGACCAAAAGTGTGTGTTGACAACTTGAGGTTTTGCACTCCGAGCACATTCTGTTCATAATTACTATAATGTTTTTGAATTTAAAACTATGCAGAAGGCATTCTTTAGCACATTGGGGCTTTGAACGGTGTCCTGATTGCCCAAAATATGTGGGAAATCTGAAAAAAATTGCAAGATCTATGAATTACATTTGCATGATTTCGCTTCAAACAGAGAAATCGCAGAATCATGCAATCCTTGAGGGTCAGTCTTTATCTCAAGTCAGAGAGCAAGATGGTTTCTGATGGAAGTCCCTGCATTTGTGGGCACTCACTATTTGCCTTGGAGATTAGAGGGTCGTCATGTGGCTGTAGTAAATGAGTGTGCTGGCTGGCTGGCTGGCTGAGTGTGATGACAGCTTGCCTGCAATATAATGATACAGGACCCTGACTTTGGCTGTGGGCCTAATGACAGCAAAGCCTTCCTCCACTTTTACTTTTGATCTGCTTCAGTCAACTGCAGCTTTTCACCGTGCCACTGACAGATGGCCACTTAAATTGATCAAATTTACCACTACATAGTTTTAATTAATATTTGCTCTATTAATATGACACCTTATATTCAGTACCAGTCAAAAGTCTAAGATTACTGTAATGCTTAGAAAGGCTGGATTTATTTGATCAAAGATAATACAGTAAAATCATGTATATTGTGAAATTAGGCAGTGCTGTGACAGGAATAAATTAGATTTTAAATAATAATAATAATAATGATTATAATAGTAATATTTTCTGTGTGGAGTTTTGTTGGCGTGGGTTTCCTCCGGGTGCTCCAGTTTGCCCCACAGTCCAAAGTCATGCGCTATAGGTGAATTGAATGAACTAAATTGGCTTTATTGTATGTGTGAGAATGGGTGTGTATGTGTGTTTCCCAATAAAGGGACTAAGCTGAAGGAAAATTAATGAATGTAGAATAATAATAATAACAACATTTCGCAATATGACTTTTCTTACTGCATTTATAATCAAATAAGCCTTGATGTGCATAGCAGACAATCACAATTTTTAACCTGTAATATATAATAATAAAGAAATAGTTCAGTATATTTACATTATATTGATATTATTTATAATATTTATATTATAATGTAAATATTATAGTCAGTATTAAGGATTTTAATTAGAATTAGGAAGGGTAATAATCAAACTTTTTATGTATTAAAAACAGGTCCATTATATATAAAATGGGGAGTTTAAATATTTTCTTTCTTTTTAGGCTGTGCCATGCCAGGAATATATTACATTTTCGATACTACTACACTACTACTACTACTACTACTACTACTACTACTACTACTAATAATAATAAGCATTATTATTATTATTATTATTATTATTATTATTATTATTATTATTATTATTATTATTATATCATTTTACAATATTTGATCTGTAATATAAATTTTATAATATAAATATATGTATGTTTAGGTCCATATTAAGGACTTTAACATTTATTAGGAAGGTGATAATTATCATTTTAATGTATTTACAAAGAGGTCTATTAAATATAAATTAAATAATAATACTTTTTTGTACCACTGAATTTTTTATTTTATTTTTGGGGGTAAGTCAAAATTTAATTTAGTAAAATGTGTTATATTTAATTGTATTTAAAAAAAACTTCAATTAATTATTAATGTTTTAACTTAACTTAAACATCTAGGGCCCTATCATACACCCGGTGCAATAAGGCGCAAGATGTGAACAATGTGATTTGTTGCTATTTTCATACCAGCGCACATTTTGTGCCACGTCTTTCAAATAGCAAATCCATTTACACCACTTTGTGGACTCATGGGCGTGCTGGTCTATAAAGAGGTGTGTTAAGGTGCATTGTTGGTGCATTGCTATTTTGAGGAACTGAAGTAGACCACACCATTGACCATATAAAAGCTAGTCTAAAGTCCAGCACAAAGCGCATTAGTTGTGCACCTATGCAGGTCTAAACGCTTACACATTGTTTAATACAAACAGGATGTACAGCAATACACAAACATCTTTACAAAACAAATAGAGGATTAAAATATTATTATTATAAAATGTTAAATGTTAAAAATTATAATTTTTTACATAAATATAAAAACCACTGCCACCTTTACCTCAGGGGGCTTTTTCAGTTAATTCATGACAATTTGCATTTGTATAATATTATTATTCTTAGTATTATTTAATATATGCATAATGATATTTGTTTAATAAAACAAGTTTAGATTTGACCATCTGTCAGGTTTTGGAGATGTATGCATCATCATATGGGACAATAGAATAAGACGTGTAACGTGTGTTTGGGTTTTTTGACAACAAAAAAAAATAAATATGTAGGCTAATGAATGTCTTCAGTGGAGTGCATACAACACTGTTTCCTTATCCAGGAAAGTAAAGGAGTAAAGTAAAGTGTAAAAGTAAAGAGGCTAAATGGAGGAATCTTGTTCTTTATCCTCACAGTGCAGATGGTCTGTTTAACTCAGTTTTACTCTGTTTTCTCGCTAATGAAGCGTTCAGTTTTTTCACTTACAAAGTCTGGCATGTAAATAGCAAATGTGCCATGGCGCGATGCAACTGACTCTTGAAGGAAACAGGAGACGAGCCTCTGATTAGTTTAATTCACGGTATGCTCAAAACACACCCATAACTCATTAAGAGAATAAGCACAACTCTGTTAGACCATGCCCTACAGCGAAAACTGTATTTTCCCCTCCTTAAAATAGCAAAAGTGTATTCGGACACTACCTTAATGCTTTTGCACCATGATCTTTAAACTCAAAACCACACAAGCATTGGTCATGGTGACATTAAAGCTTGTAATTGATATTGAATAGCACCATACAGGAACATTCCAGCCCTAATGAGAGCACAACTGTCTGAAGAAGAGCATAGAGATGATTAAGAGCCAGCATTTGTTTTCGGTGCCTGACCCAGAGCAGATCCTTGCCAAGGTTGCCTTCGCCACAATTTACTGCAGTGTTATTGCTAGCTGTTGCCTTTAGTCAACGTGACCTGATGTTTAACGCTCTCTTTGTCTCTCTCTATCTCTCTAGTTCTGGCACGGGACTGTGATACGGGCCTGAACGCAGAACTGTCTTACTTCATCCAGAGCGTAGACTTTGACATAACATCCCAGGGAGTTGTGAGCCCCAGTCAGAGACTGGACTATGAGAGACCAAACCACATGTATGAGTGCACCGTGGTGGCTGTGGATAAGGGAACACCACCTCGCACGGGCACTGCCTCCATCCGCATCCGCATGGCCAACGTCAACGATGAAGCCCCTGTCTTTTCACAAACAATGTATGAATCTTTTGTTCTGTCTGTTTTGCTCTGTTTTTGATCTATTGTTTATTATTCGTCTATTATTTGCTGTTTTTTAAAAACATTATTACACTTTATGTTAATATATGTAGTTTTCACTAATTTTGAATTAACAGTAAACTCTATAACTGCCTATCAATCTCTCAGATCAACCGTGAGCATTTGCTTTTCACATAATCACTATAATTTACATAAATACCTATTATTAATTAATTTAATTTGCTTATGTATTTTAGCTAATCATTCAATTGGTCAAATGTGTTTATAATTATTATAAACAAATCAAATTTTATTTATATATTCATTTATCATTCAATATATTTAAAATATATGATATATTTTATGCATTATTAAATATTATATAGTAAATAAATGATAATTATTATTGAAATTAAAGTGATTGAATATACATATACATTAATAGTAACTCTACACATTTTTTTCACATTATTATTTATTCTAAAATATTTGTAACAATTTAGCAATATAATAAATATTTATATTTAATTATTCATCATATATATTTTTATTTTTTATGTTATTTATATTTATTATGAAAATTAATGTTTTTAATAATTAATGTACTTTAATAATAATTGAACATATTTTTCACATTATATATTATATAACACAAAATAGATTTTAGCAATATAATAAATATATATTTTTATATTTTTTAGTTTTATTATATGTTTATTTTATTTTATTCATTTATTTATTTATTTATTTATTTATTTATTACTATAATTAAAGTTTTTTATTTAATATACACAGAAATTATTAATAATATTTACACATGTTTTTTCACATAATTATTTATTATATAATATAAAATATATTTAGCAATATAATATATATAATAATAATATATTTTTTCACATAATTTTTTATTATATATTTTACATTAGATTTTTTACAATATGATAAATATTTTTATTTAATTATTTATTATATATATTTTTTATATTTATTAATAAAATTAAAGTGTTTATTTAATATACATATACATTACTAATAATTGTTTTTTTTTCACAAAATGATTTATTGTATAATATAAAACTTATTTTAGGCATATTTTATATGTAATATATATTTTTATATATTTATTTATCATTCATATGTATTGTGAAATATGTTATTTATATATTATATATATTTATTAATAATAATACATATTCAGCACAAATATTTACTTAATATTCTATAATAAATGGACATTAAATGTTATTTTGAGACATGTTAACCTGACTCATTTTTCACATTCTCTGTCTGCTCTGTTTTCTGTGTAGTCCTCTTCTTCTTTCCTAGTATCTCCTCCAGCCTGGTCTCAGAGAGCCTGGGAATATAGAGATATGAATTTTACACTCTTTTTCCTTCACAATGGGATTTCATCAGAGCAGAAGCGAGCCGAGGGTCCCGTGAAAGCTAGGCGTCAGGCTATACGGCTCTGGCATTTATTAAATGTAGCCAGAAGGAGAGGCAGACATTTGGTCCGATTCAGCAGAAAGACAACAATCACAGTGTAGCAAGCAAGCTGTCTACACACACACACACACACGCGCGCACAAACACACACACACACTGCACACTATTTCAGAACATCATCTCCCTTGGTAGGAGTTTGGGAGACATATAAAGGAGCTGGTGTTGGTGTATCATCATTAGAGCTGCAGTGTGTGTGTTTATGTTAGGATTTGCTCTGGTTCTTCTCAGTGCAGGGACTGCGTGGTTGTTTGTGTGCGCCCTGGGATGCACTTCAGAGGCCGTGTAGAGGAAGCAGATGGTGGGTCTGTGATGTTCTGAGGCTGATCTGTCTCTTTCTGTCTTCTTTTTCTGCAGATATAAAACCTTCCTTTCTGAAGACGCCGGGCCTGAAACACTAGTAGCCATTGTGCACGCCAAAGACCCAGACGGGGATGGCGTAACGTATGCCATTACTGGGGGAAATGAAGACAGCAATTTTGAACTGGACAACCAGAAGGGTGAGTCGAGTCAAATTAGATGTAAACTTAAAGTTTGTTGCTATGGCAACGGCATCTAAACATCCAATCCAAGGCCTTAAAGGGGTAGTTCATGCCATTATGGAACTTTATTCACCATTTACTCACCCTCAAAGTGGATTGAAGACATTCATGAGTTTCTTTCTGCAGTTAAACAACACAAAAGTAGATCTTCTATAAGAATCTTCAAAAACATCAACATTGTTCAAAATATATAATTTTGTGTTTAGTTGAGAAAAGAATTTTAAATAATTCTACAAGAATTGAGGGCGAGTAAGGCCCAATTCTAATTGTATTTTTGTACCGCTAAGTGTGAAGTGGAAGGGCTTCAAAATTTAGCCCTAAGAAATGGAACAGCACTACAACTGCACACGTAATCAGGGTTTAATTTGTTTCGGAACACGCCAGATCCGGATTTGGATCCGGAACCGGCACCTCTGAAATTTGATCTGGCACCTAATTTTACGGATCTCCCTCCTCACTTGCCATCCACCCCTGTCCGCTCTTCACTTTTACTTTCTTTCACGACTCCCCAACCCTTTTCACTTTCATCCGTGATAACCAACCCCCGCCCTGGCTTTTAACTTACGTCCGCGACACCCCTCCGCCTTCCAATGTCCCATTATCTCTCCACCACCACCCCCTCCCCACCTCGCTCTTCACTTTCATGTGCGACACCTCTACATCCTCGGGTAACATGCCGGATGCGTTACCCCGATCTGTTCCGGGACCTTGCAATTCACAAATTAAGCACTGCACGTAATCATATGTCATCGAAATCTCCTGCTTCATATGCGATCGACAATTACGACTGCTGTAGTTAGCCAGCACTCACTTTTAGGCATTTACACCTACCTATGTTCAAATAGTAACAGTTCTTGACTCCAGTAAGCTACACACACAAATTAGAGATCATTGGAAATAAGACACTTCGGGCTTTACTGTGGTTAAAGGGGAAGTTACATGTTCAAAAAAATAAAACTTATGTTCAATATTTGTTTTGTCCATATACAAACACAGGAAAACATTCTTGATATGTCTTGAAAGCCAAGTGTTTATATTTTAAATTTGATGAAAGTAGCATGCAAAATGAGTTTTCCGAGGCTATATTGGTGTCTTCCTTTCCCTCATCGTCAAACTTTGGGCTTTATTCAGTGCTTAATTTTTGAATTGTGAGGTCCTGGATGAGGGTGTCGCAGTCAAAAGTGAAGAGGGTTGGGGAGTGGCGGAAGAAAGTGGAAGTGAACAGCTGACGGGGGATGAGGGCGGTTAAGTAGGGGGATTGGTAAAATGAGGTGCTGGGTCAGATTTCAGACGTGCCGGATCCGGATCTAGCGTGTTCCGGCATAAATTGAGCCCTGGCTTTATAATCCATCATCCAGAGTTTATAATGCAACAAAAAAAGAAAAAGTAATAAGTCAAAAGCCACACATCTCCTGAGTATATGTTTTGAACTTAATGCCAATATCATGCAAAACTACATTTCTGAAATGATTATTCTGAGACAATGTCTTGTGATTTTTTCCTTCTCCTTGTTTGTGGAGAAGCAGTCTGATTACCACATGTATACTGAAGGTTTCTAACAACTAATTTAGTCTTTTCACATACCACTTATTTTTTTAATTGTGGTTTTTATTTTAGTATTTTCTTTTAAAGCATGACGGTAAAACATAAACATCGTTATGAATGTATTAAAACATGTGCTTGTTTGTTGTAAAAATGCATAATAGTGACAAAAAAAAACAAAACTCTGTGCTTTTGAAAACACTATTGGTTGGGTTTAGGGAAGGAAGAGGGTGGGTCAGTTGATCGGCCAGTCAGTCAGTCATTCAGTCAGTCGACTGCAGCCTCTGGTGGATTTACATGAGAACAGCAGACATGAATGGCACTTGCGAGAGAAAATCGAGATCTCAAAAAGCATACACAGCGGCCTCTGGTGGATTCACGAAAACAAAGACGATGTAAAATGTACCTCCTAAGACATATTTGGCCTCCAGAGATGTGTATAGCATTACGTTTTCAGAATGAGCCTGGTTTGGTTTTCGTTCCTACAGATAACAGTAAGAAATCGTGTGAAACTGTAAAGTTTTTGCTTTTATTTATATAAATGCATTATAAAAACACCACATTATTGTTACTTAAAATGAAGTAATTGCACAGAATATGCTTTCTGACACAACGTGCCTTAAAATGAATCAAAGTTTTGCTACCCTGGCTTACGTTCATGTATTTTTATCATTCTTTCCCATGGTAACCACTTGTTTTCTAGATAGTTATTTTTTAATAATCTAAAAAGAGGGCTTAATTTCAAGCAGTGCTTCTCCAAAGTGTTGTCTGTAGCTTTAAATTAATATTAAAAATGAACATCAGTTTTTATTCTAGCCAAAATAAAACAAATAAGACTTTCTCCAGAAGAAAAAATATTATCAGACATACTGTGAAAGTTTATTTGCACTGTTAAACATCATTTGGGATAATATTTCTGACTTCAACTGTATGTCATTATTGTTATAGTGTTGGTTTGAACTCTGCTGTTGTTTTACATTCAGAACCATTTTAATAACTCAATCTGTAATATTATTTGTATATTTGTATAAACCAAGCCAGGTTGCTTTTCAAAATGACGTCACACCAGTTTGTTCTTCAGTTTTGCGTTAAGGATGCTTTCTTAAACGAAGACATCTAAAACCATTCAAAAAGTGATTTTCCACTTCCCGTCTGCTCAGCACGCTCCTTTAATCCATCATTCAGCCCACGTTTGTGGTATTTGTGGGAAAAACAAACACCCCTTGTGTTGTATTTGGTCTACAGCTCTTGGTTTTTTTATATATTTTTTTTGTGTGTGTGTATGTGTGCACTTGTGTGTGAATGCAATGTTTGCCTGTTTTCATGCCTGCCTGCCTGCCTGTGTACTTTCAGTCTCAAGGTTACATTTGTCTGCGGTGTTTGCTTTTCGTTTGTTTACCAGCACATTTTATGCCTGAGAGCGGGAAAACAGCAGTATGCTAAAGCTCTCTCCTGTCTTATCAGCCTCGCGGCACGACTGTTCCACCACCCCAACCCATTACAGGCCAGCACAGAGAGAGATGGCCCATGGCTTCGGCTCTCAGAAAGCTGCGTGGAGTTGTCACTTCAAAGATGCAGCAGTACATTTTTTTTCTTTTCTTTTTTTTGCACACTGCCACCAACTTCTCTGTTGTTAGGTGAATGTGCAGCCATTAGAAGCCTGTTTTGCGATTACTGTAAAGCTGGATATACAAAAGCAGTTGTCGTTTAATCATTTTAAATGCTAATTTTTGGATTTGAAAGGGGGATTAAAAAGCATAGCTTTGTAAAACAGATGTATTTTACATACAGTCAAAAGAGTTGTGTGCAAAAATACAATTAAATGTCAAATTAATATGATGTGTTCAGGCATTTAATTTCATATAAACTGTATTGGTTAATTGAAATTAAAGGGCATGATGAAAATCATCATTTGTAAGCTGTTTGGACAGAATTGTGTATAGGTATAGTGTTTCCACAGTCAAATTCGGGTGATATAAAGAGATTATCTCTCCTTTTTTAAATTTCCTGATGTTAAAGGAATCCAAGTCCCTCCCATTTTGAGACCGACTGCAATGTGACGTAGGAGTGTTGTTTCCCTACCCACCGAATTTATTGATAGCCACTTAATAACATGTCTCCATAGTAACGCATATAATCATATTAACAAGACAGGATGTGCACAAAGCAACTGAGATTAAAAGATCTGTTTAGCTCGCTGTGATCATCAATCATCATCAAATGTGATCAAGAATGAGTTTCACAAGTTTTAAACATTTTTTAAACAGTGCATATTTGTAATTAATTACAGCGATTTTATCACCACTGCCGCATGTCAGTACAATTATAAAAAAGACGCTTCAATCCTGGTTTGTGGACGTAAAATCAGGTTTATTTTGGATGTTAGCATAACGGATATCCATACAGCAGTGGATATTAACGTGTATCCTGTCACATTTGCGTGCAAAGTTAAACTTGCGCTGCTTGTGTGTGTGTGTGTGTGTGTGTGTGTGTGTGTGTGTGTGTGTGTGTGTGTGTGTGTGTGTGTGTGTGTGTGTGTGTGTGTGTGTGTGTGTGTGGTGTGTGTGTGTGTGTGTGGATGAACTTTGTAATGACATTGTTGTGACTCATCAAAAGGCTTGAATTAACTCCACAACAAATACAACAAATAATCATTGGGAAAGTTCTTACTAAAGTATTTCTCACAAACATTACAAGAGATCTTCTTCCTTAATGTCTGTCTGTTATCTGACACTGCCGAGCCAGAGATGGAGACACACTCTGACAGGCATGTGGGAATGGTGGGTGGGGAGAACTAGCATTAAAGGCACAGGCCACAAAGACAGCTACATAGTGTTTAAAGCAGAAAATTCCAACATTCTGAAATTGTATAATAAATAACCTAATGGGTGTTTTCAGCTGAAACTTTACAGACACATTCTGGAGGCACAAAACACTTGTATGATATCTTGAAAAAGGGGTAAACTAAGTGCCCTTTAACTAAAAATTGTTGAAATTTATATTAAATGCATCTAAACTTTCGACTGTTTATTGACTCATTTAAAGGGATAGTTCACCCTAAAATGAAAATGTACTATACATTTGCTTAACCTCAAGTGTTTCCAAGACTTTAAGAGTTTCTTCGTTCTGTTGAACACTAAAGAAGATATTTTAAAAAATGTTTAAAAGCATTGACTTCATTTGTAGGAAAAACAAATACTATGGAAGTCAATGATTACAGATTTCCACTTTTCCAGTCTTTTTCATTATTGTTTTGTGTTCAGCAGATGATGAACAAATTTTAATTTTGAGTGAACTATCCCTTAAAATAGGATATTTTAGGATAACTTAATTTGCCATTAGTAATTACAAATTGGTTAGCATTGTCACCTCACAGCAAGAAGGTCACTGCTTTGAGTCCTAGCTGGGCTAGATGGCATTTCTGTGTGGAGTTTGCATGTTTTCCCCATGTTTGCGTGGGTTTCCTCCGGGTGCTCCGGTTTCCCCCACAATCCAAAGACATGCGATACAGGTGAATTAGGTAAACTAAATTAGCCATAGTGTATGAGTTTGTGTGTGAATGGAGAGTGTATGGGTGTTTCCCAGTACCGGGTTGCCACTCCGTAATACATATGCTGGAATAGTTGGAGGTTCATTTAGCTGTGGCCACTCCTGATAAATAAGGGACTAAGTTGAAGAAAAATTTAATGACATGAATATGAAATGTGGTTTAGTATTTTTTTATGTGGAACAATATAACATGAGCATGATCATTTCCCACACAGAAATATTCCAAAACCATGCATTTCATATGTGTTTAATTTGTCCTCCATGTTTGTTACATATGTTCACATTGGATATTAATATGAAACTAGATTTTCATATTGTCAAACGATTCTTTTTAAGCATGAGTTTTATGTGTCATTTTATTTCATTTACATCACATGATCTTACATGATGTGATTTTTTAAAAAGTGTTATTTAATTTCAATAATACAACATTCACACTCAGTGATTATGCACTCACTCACTATCCTTTAGCTTAGTTCCTGATGTATCAGGCGATGCCACAGTGGAATGATCTACCAATTTTTCTGACCTATATTTTATGCAGCGTATGCCCTTCCAGTCACAACCCATCACTGAGAAAAGAGATTATGCAGTGAATTTTAATATGCTTTTACAGTTTGATGTGAACATGCACTACAGCCGATTGTTTTCTTCCACGAGACATTTAGATAAGCTGAAGTGTTTTATTGACTTATTTACAGGCATCATCAAACTGCGACGTAGTCCTCCTCCTAGACTCCGGGGTCCTCAGTATGTCCTGAACGTCACAGCGACTGATGACAATGCAGCCGGTGGAGCTCTGCCCCTCAGCAGCTGCGCACAGGTCATCGTGGGCATCAATGACATCAACAACAACAAGCCAGTGTTTGATGAGGTAAGGTTAAAAAAAAACATCTTAAAATCGGTTTATCAGCAATATTAACAAGAAGCCACTGTTTGGCGAGCTGAGGTTTCAAAAGGTATTTTAAAACTTGTACAAATCTATATTTTAAAGTCCTGTGAAATTAAATAAAAAAATGTTAAATGTTAGTTTTAGTTTGTTAGTTTTAAGGATATCTATTAGCGTAAGGATATCTATTAGTGTGTTTAGAAAATATAAAATTAATATAAACATCCAAAAGCTTCCAATTTGTCACTTCCGCCTAAATGGATCAACGGTTTTATAGAGTGGAGGAACTAAGACGTCAATTTGTATGCAAAAACCCGGAAGCGAGTTAGCATTTTAGCAGTTCCGGTTCCCTCGTCCCAAAGTCAATGGGTTTTTTGAATGGGGTTTCTGTAAAATCGCTTAAATAACGTCTGTGACTAACACCAACTCAATATACTTTCACGTTTTGCTCTACGACATAAAACACATCAGTTACAGCACACTCTTCAACTTTTAAATCGATTATGCTTCTTTAAAAAGACGGTTGCTATCAAGTTGCTAAATGGGGACATTATACGTCATCAAGCTGATCTGGTCTGGAGTGCAGCCCGCTTGTGATGGGCGTTTGGATTTGTTTGTGATTTAGGTATTTTCATGAATAGTATTTTATAGTTTGTTGTATTATTCTAATTGAGAATTCAGATTGTGTGTAGATAATTCCTTCACATGGAAAGACTGTCGAGACAGACTAATTTGTTGATCGTTTATTTTAATTAAACGATATTATGAAAATACTGCTCACCAGTGCAGCCTGTTTTTTTCCTGCTCTCAGTAATGCAAACGTGTGAATAAATGTGTAAAATACATGCATGTTAACTGTCATTTTAACGTGATCAAGTGATTTCTCGTCTTTTTTTCTTCATCTGAACACATTTAACTGCAGTATTTACACTCCTCCATAAAACGTTCAGCAGATGTGACTGTATGGGCTGTTTTTCGCTGTACTTCTTGACAAAAAATGAATATTGAATGTTGCTCTGTGCCCATGATGATGGAACTTGCAGGCATTTGATAGACTTGTTCCTCCTCACGCCTATTTCTGTCGTCTGTTTAAGGTAAGCGGGCTGTGTGCGCGAGCGATACACGTATTTAAATATGTCTCATAATAATACTATATAGGCACATTTATACACATTTTTAAAACTTTTAGAACAACCGCAAAGCGAAACAGATATTTCCCACGTAAAAACGATCCAAAAGGCACAAAGGTCTATGTGTTTTTGCGAATTTATTAGTTTATAATATATAGCGTGGATTATAATATAATAAACAGAGAGATTAACTCGTTGTCATGGACATTATTTCTAAAAATAAGCTTGATAAGTTGTCTGTAGCAGGGTGGGGCTGACGTCACAGACGAGCGCCCCGAGGGCACTGTAGTCCGTTTATAGCCTAATGTTAGCTTTTCATATCTTGCGTTTGCATTTAAGATCCAAAAGTGCTCAATGTTGTATTTTCGTGTGACAATTATCCGGCCGAACAAAACGTGTAAGTGTAATGAACAGTGTTTGAACACAGAGCTTATTATTCGCAATCTTCGAAAACCCTATGGGAAAATCCTATAGGGATTTTCACGAGGGAACCAATTTTATGCTAGCAGCCGATTAGCCTACAAAGTGACGTCATAGTTCCTCCACTCTATTCACGTCACCTCATACTTCAGTTTCTCATGAAATCTTGACCAATCAAATGCTCTCTAGCATCTGACATGTCCCGCCCCCTTCAAGGCACTTCTCATTTGCTTTTCATTTCATAAGCTTAATCTCAAGCACTCTCACTGGCAGAGCTCTGATAAAAACGACACGTTACTGGCTGTTTTTTAAAGGGGAGGAGCTACTCTATGTCCCACCCGCTCTTCATTTTTTCAGTTGAGATTACGTCAAACGTTATAAACATGGGATTTTGGGTTATTATGTTAAGGATCCCTCTTTCAAAGATGCTGGTTTATCATAAACTTTATTTTATTGTTATATAAATTTCACATACACAAATCCAAGTTTGCCAAAAGCAAACCTCTCTTCATGGTGCTAGAAAAAGAGATTCAAATGTATATAAAAGTGATTTCTAAGGGTGCTTTCACACCTAGACTTTTGTTTTGAAACCTGGCGCGTTTCCCCAGTTAGCGTGGTTTGTTTGGCAAATGTGAATCCAGCAATCACGCTCAGAACTACGCCAAATCAGTCGGCCCGAGATTGCCTGGATGAGGTGGTCTCGGCTCAATTGAAAGGCACTCTGTAGCGGATCGATTGTAGTAAGAAAGCAAAATGATCTAACAAATTGACAAACCAGGCTATATAACAGTGTATTATGGATATGTAATAGCCATATATACGGCTATATAAGAAAATTGATCGAACAGCAGTCTTGGTTTATTTGTAATTTTTCTCTATAATATAAAGCCTATAATGCATAATTCTTGCCAACGGCTCTGTATGAGAAAGTCATACCTCTGATTTATCTTTGGTGACGATATGTGGGGGTAACCATTCAAAATTAAAGCACAGCTGCAAGTGCAATCATTGTAACTGCTTCATTGTAACCATTTTAATCCTTGATACAGAACAAAAGAATCGATCCACAGGTGTGAAAGCACCCTAAATGCCCGTGCACACAGAGATGTTTTTTCCTCGCGTTTTCCGTCAACGTTTAACGCCTCGTGACTAAATAAAGGCCGCCAATGTGATCTTGCACACCAACGCGCAAAACGCCAGACGTAAAAGCATCATTTTTAAAAAAACGCCTCATGCTTATTTTTTTTGTTTTGATGCACTGCGTCAAAACCTTCTCCACCAAACAGGTTGGCACTTTTGTTCACGTGCAATGAGCTGCTGAATTTTCAGTAAACAGCCCTTGGAGGCGCTCAAGCGCAAAACTGTCAATGGGAGCGCACATTGAAGAAGATGCACAATGGCGATATGAACGTGGAGCTGCTTATTGCACTGCTGAACAATCATCATTTCTTCATCGCTAGAGCTGGAGCTGCTACTTGAATCACCCATAACAACAAGCGTGTCAACTTTGTCTTCTCCATCTGTGTTACAAGCGGGTGTCAGAAGCTTAAAATTGTGTAGCGCCAGCTAATGTCAAGGAGAGATTTTGCATACTCTTCTGCTCGACACAAGTGAAAATTGCTTGGGTTTGAATCCGGAAAAACGTCTTAAAAAACGCTGACCATAAACGTAAACGAAAAGTGTCCTGGTGTGTACGAGCCTTTAGTCTAAAAATAGAAAAGCAATTAAAACAGTTAATATATGGTCCTCCTTTAATATTTTTGCATAAAATGTTTGTACACGTGCATTTTCTGTAGTAAAAGTGCATTTAATAACTCTTGCTAATAACTAAAATTGTAAATTATTTATGCAGTTGAAGTAAGAATTTTTAGCCTCCTTGAATTATTAGCCCCCCTGTTTATTTTTTTCCCCAATATCTGTCTAACAGAGATTTTTTCAACACATTTCTAAACATAATAGTTTTAAAAACTCATTTCTAATAAATGATTTATTTTATCTTTGTCATGATGACAGTAAATAATATTTTACTAGATATTTTTAAAGACACTTCTAAACAGCTTAAAGTGACATGTAAAGGCTTAACTAGGTTAATTAGTGTAACTAGGCAGTTTAGAGTAATTAGGCAAGTTATTGTATAAGCATGGTTTGTTCTGTAGACTATCGAATAAAAATATACAGCTTATAGAGGCTAATAATTTTGACCTTAAAATGGTTTTAAAAAATTTTAAAACTTCTTTTATTCTAGCCAGAATAAAACAAATAAGACTTTCTCCAGAAGAAAAAATATGATCAGACATACTTTGAAAATTTCCTTGCTCTGTTAAACATCATTTGGGAAATATTTAAAAACGAAAAAAAAAAAAAATAAATCAAAGGGCAGGCTAATCATTCTGACTTCAACTGTATGTAATTTGATAATTATATATCCTTTCCTCTGTTTCTTTTTAAATATTTTTTTTCTCATTTAATCCTTCTCGTTAACGAATGTAAAGGGATTTTGTTGTATATAAACTTTACATGCTGGGTCTTGTTAATAAAGCAAAAAAACAAGAGATTATGTCAAACATCTAATAAAAATGCACATTTCAAAGCACTTCACAGGACTTTTAACGACCCAATCTGTGCACAAGGAGAACGAATATAGGCAAGTGTGTACAGCAGAAAAGTCTGACTCCACCAGTGTTGATATATGACTATAAAATTCAAATATATTCTCTCATTAAATCTGCCTAGCTTAAAGCGCCCCGGGCTTTTAATACCAGTGACACTGTGAACACCTCACTAATGGCAGAGTTTAGAGACAGATAAAGTCTGAGGGGACAAAAAGTGAAGAATGGGGTAGGAGTTGATAAATAGAAACGAGCTGAAGATGTAGTGCGAGATGAAGGATAAAGAATGAGTTGTGCCTACTGATGATATGTCTCCGTCTCGCGTTATCACCCAGTTTACTAAAGAAACAATGAAATTCACAGAGCTGCACAAATGTGAAGGAATAATTGCTGTATGTAATAACAAAATGGAGAATATCAAAATTTTTCATTTATAGCATTAGTTCTAAATGGTGCTGTATTTTTTTTGACTCTTCTAAAGCATAACAATAGCATCATATGTTTGCATTTATTTAAGAAACATGCTAAAGGCTGATTTATACTTCTGCATTAAGCGCATGCACATGGTCTGGCGCAGCCTTCATGAGGGCGCATAGCTCTTGCCGTGGCTGACGACAATGCTGATAAGCATCTCTCAAAGTTATGTTTCAGAAACAAATTTCGGGAGGACCACGCGCAGATGTTTCTGCAATTTAATACGTCATTGACAATCATTATATTATCCAATCAATTTTCTGGGGCGGGGCTAGATGCTACACTCGAATCCCAACTTCTTTCTATTCATTGATAAGGGGAATAACACGAGTTGGGGTGTCTTCCCCGAGCT